GATTGAAAAGTATTGTAAAACATTTGAAAACTAAGATTCGACAATGTTTGTCTTATCGAAACTAACATATATTGAATGTGACAAATTGCAAAAGTATTGGTATAATTCCATTCCAAATAATGTAATTAAAGTTAATATCAAACAGCCTTGCAAAACCTTAAAGGTAAACCAAACAGGCCAAAAAAAAAATTGACACTCGGTCGGATACCAAGACATTTTCCATTGCTGCAGATTTTTTTCACTTAGATTGTTTAGGGTTAGCTCACAAATTATGCTTTGCATGAACAAAGGTGTCTGTAAGGCAGTTTGCAAAAAATGGTGATATGGACTGTCTAAAATTTGCCCATGAAAATGGTTGTGGGATAGAAGTATATGTTACAGTGCAGCACAACATGGTAATTTGGAATGCTTAAAATATGCTCATAAGAACAACTGCCCTTTGGACGATTATACATCCAGCTTGGATGCATATTGTGGCAGTTTAGATTGTTTGAAATATATGATCATGAATTTCTGCCCTTGGGATGAAGGAAAATGCAAGTTTACTGCCCATAATGGATTTATTGATTTATTAAAATTTTCCCATGAAAATGGATGTTCATGGGGTGAAGATACATGCAAATCGGCTGCAAGTAGCTCTGCTTGATGTATGCTCATGGCCACGGTGGTCCATGGACTGTAGAAACATGTGCTTAGCATAAAACGGCCATATTAAATCTTAAAGTATGCCCACAACAACAGGTGTTTTTGGAAAGAAAACACATATCAAATGGATGCTTCTTATGAGCATTTAGATGCTTTGATGTATGCCCATAAAAATGGATGGCCATGAGACAATATATTGTGTGGCCAAAAGTGGCCATTTAGATTGTTTAATTTATACTTTTACTAATGGATGTTTATGCTCTGGTGAAGTGTCCCGTATTGCTGGTAGTCATGGGCATTTTGACTGTTTAAAGTATCTTCATGAAAATAAATGTACTTTGGAATCATTTTTGACATACTTTACTGCAAAAAATGGACATATGCTTTGTCTCCAATATGCCCATAAAAACGGATGTCTGTGACATAACAACACATGCTACATAGCTGCAGAAAATGGGCACATAGAAATCATAAGGTGTGCTCGAAAAAATGAACTATGAAACACTTGAATGGGATGTGAGTTCTGGACTATTTAATGACTGTCTTCAATCCACTATTGAAAAACCGATGGAAGATTTGTTTTTTTCGTTAAGAGGACGCTACACCAGCCATAATTTAAGCGTAAAAATGGTTTTGCGGGGGACAACTCTACAAGGCCAATATTCATTGTAGATTCACCAAATTTTCAGAATAAACAAAATAGAACTTTATCTATGTCGTAGCGTTTTTACTTTTTTGATAACTTAAACACAATCCAAGTTATTTAATCGGAAAGATTCATTAATTTTTGTTTTTTTCATTTGCTTATAAATAATTAACGAGTATTGATATCAAAAAAAGATAAACGCTACGACACAGATACAATTCTCTTTTATTTATTAAAAAAATTTGGTGAATCTACTATGAATATTAGCTTCGTAGAGTTGTCCCGCGCAAAGCAGTTTTTATTGTATCAAAATGCTGAAAATTAATTTTTATAATTATTATTATTCTCTGGACTCTGGTGGCGAACGGCTTAATTATTGTCGACCACTCCCCACTCCCCAGTCACCATCCTATATGCTATTTTTATAGACGTTGACAATTCCGGCGATACTAGGAAAGTATAATGGGCTTATGGCTGTTTCCGTCACCGCGTTTAACGAGTTTTGAGTCTCTTAATGTTGTTGTAATAATTATAACAATTATTGTACTATTATCGAATAGTAACGGCACTAATAATTCAGTGTTAGATAGTATAGACGGTATACGAGCGTCCTATACTCCTATGTTCTTTTATTATTATACGAAATATACGCATATTTTGTAGTTTTGTCACCAATTTTTATTTAACTGGGTTGTGTTAATTTTAATAAAATGTCACCGAAAAAGACAAGATCGCTCTCTAATAAACGAGCTCGAATAGGTAAAAAAGGTAACCATAAAAAAATGAAGAATGTTCAGAAAGGTATTAGTATAAGTATACGGTAAGTACCTGCTAGTTGCTACTAATAAATAGTTTTAAATTTTAATATTATGTATATAATTCAAATATTAATTTTTATATAATTTTGTAAATTTATCAAAAAGAAAGTCGACCTCTGAGCATTTTAATAATGAAATAGAAACTACTCCGAAAATGTCTTTATTCCGTACCATATCGACCGAAAATGTAAGCCTGTCGACACAAAATCAAAATGTTCCATTTAGTACACCATCAAGCCCAGCTATTGAAATGCCGTCTGATGAAGCTGAAGTTATGGAACACAGCTTATGTATTGAATATGAAAATTCTAGTTTTGATGATACAATTTTAGGGTAGGTACCTAAATTATAATTTACAAGGTCGTATTTTAAAATATTTTACAAAATTCGTCAAAATCACAAAATTGTCAAAGTATTTTGAATTGTAAATTCATAAAAATAATTCTATTTATATCTATGATTTAAAACTTTGGTATAAGTTTGTTTATTAATTTTTTTGTTTTACGGCACAATAATTTTAAATAGGTTCTCGTACAAATATATATTTTTAAATTTACACAAACTCAAATCAGATTATTACCAATGTTATAAACTTTTTAAAAATTGTAATAGAGTAACTTTATTTCCCAATAAAAATCTAATAACCAAGTTCCGTAACTATATTTTATGAATTTTTAACTGAAAAATAGCTTACAACATTTAAAAAATTATCATGGCTATAAATAGCTCAAAAAGAGTCAAAATAGTTTGAACAGTGTAAGGAAGATGAAAAATATTAAAAATCCTTAGTCACAATTTTTTTGGAACGATTCTAGTTTAGCTATTGATTTTCATTTTTTTTTTCCAAATTGTGTGTTATAGTGTGCTTTATAAGAATGTAAAAAAAAGCCAAAACAAACTTAGTTTTGAAGTTATTGATCAGAAACTTCAAAAACTTCATTTTTTCATTACGTGCATTTTTTTAAAAAAAAAAATACTTAGAATTGTATATTTTAAAATTTTTTTTTTTTCAAAGTGTACTTTTTAACGCTTAATATATTGGTAAAATCAAAACTTACCTAACATACTTACTTTTGAAGTTTTTGCACGTAAACATTGAAAAATACCATTTTAAAAATTCATAGTAAATAAATAATAGATACATGAAATTTTGATTGAATGTTTAAATTAGTATTTTCTATATACACCATACAAGTTTGAAAATATTTTGACTAGGTTTGAGCTATTTACCGACATTTTCCGTTTTCAATTTTAGATTCTGAGAGAAGCGATAAATGCATTGATTTTACAATGATGTGTGTTTTTTTTTTAAATTTTTTTTGTGTCTGTCGATTTCTCATGTAACGATTTTCTTATTTTATTGTAATTAAAAAACAAATGACTGTAGATAGTTGACAATTTCACTGAATGTGTATATTAGCATTTCCTATACACCATACAGTTGTGAAAATAATTTTACTTTTTTGAGCTATTTACGGATATTGTCAGTTTTCAATTTTTTTAGTTTTTTTTTCTATAAATATCAATAAAGTTTTATCTGTTGGGCCAAAAAGTGTAAAAATTTAATACAAGGCTTCTGGTATATTGTTACAATAGCAGTTGCAAAATATTAAAAATACATAGAAATAATTTTTTTTTATAAGCATTTAAAGATCGAATTTTAACAAAATTTATCAAATTTAAAATTTCATAATTATTTTGTAGTTAAAAATTTATAAAATGTTCAACTTTTATAGCTAAGGATTGAAAATTTAAAACAAGATTCCACGTAAATAGCTTATATATAAATTACACGATTCACCTTAATATCATATCAAATAATAAATACTTGTAATCTACTATACAGCAGAGCGACATCCACTTACCCACCTTTTTAAATTTTTTATTTTCTATAATTGTCAATAACATTTAGCATAATCGATGCATTTATTCAATTATTAAAAAAAAGGTAATTTTTCACTTTTTACAGATCTCTTGAAGGACGTAGGATTGTGAATATAAGTCATTTATTTTCTCAGATTCAAAATAGCCGGCATGGAAAATTGGAATGCTCGTTTTTAGATATGCAATTTCTAACCGAGCACAGTAGAGGGTATAGCTCAACTTTTAAATTCCGATGCAAAATGTGTGGTATTACGTCGTTGTTCACATCGGAAAACGAACAAGACTGTAACTATTTGCCAATTAATAAAGCCTTAGTAAACGGCAGTATAGCTATTGGTACGGATTTCATGATATTATACGCGTCTTACCTACTCATTTTTTTAGCAACTTATTTTTGAAATATAAACTATTTGATTAGCTTAATATTTTATTGTTTTATCTAAAACTCTAAAACAAACTGTATGTAGGTAGTAAATACCCCGGGTTTTCCGTAAGCGAAAATTCAATAATTTTTATTGTACTATAGGAATTGGTCATGCACAGCTTACTGAACTTTCCGCCTCGGCTGACATTCCATTTTTGTCAACATTCGGGTATTTAAATACTTTGTCTTCGGTTAGTCAGTCAATTGAAGATACTGCTTTAGATGAAATTATTAAAGCTGGTATGGAAGAACGGCGATTGGCTATAGAATGTGGTAATGTGGACAAAGACGGTGTTCCTATGTGCACTGTTATTGCAGACGGCCAGTGGTCGAAAAGAAGTTATAAGACCAAATATAATGCGTTTTCAGGAGCAGTAAGATTGTATTTTTATGTTTATAGATAGTATTATTGTTATTATTTGTCATGTGTTTTTAGGCTACTATCATTGGTTTTAAAACTAAAAAGGTGTTATTTCTTGGTATAAGAAATAGCTATTGCTGCATTTGTCAACGAGCTTTAACCAAAAAAATAGAGCCCAGTAATCATCAATGCTTCTTAAATTGGAAAGCATCTTCAACGGCAATGGAAGCAGATACAATATTGGAAGGATTTTTGAATAGTATTAATATGCATGGTTTGAAATATAACAAACTGATAGGTATAATGGATATTTTTATTAGAAATTAGAAACAACAACAATAATAATTTGTCCTATACTTCTATAGGTGACGGTGATAGTTCCGTAACTAAGCGTTTAAATGAGGTATTGCCGTATGGAAATGATTTTAGAGTTAAGAAAATTGAATGTAAAAATCACCTACTCAGAAATTACACTACAAAGTTATCAGCAATTGCAAAACAGACGGACTATCCTATTTCAATTAGGAAGCATATTTTAACAAATATTGTTAGATTCCGCTCAGATATAACAAAGGCAACTAAACATTACATCAACTCTGATATACCATTTCAAACAAAGATTGCAGGTAGATAATAATTTTTTTACTTAATGAAATTGAATGTAAAATATAAATATATTATTACTTTTAAAATATATTATACATTTTGATTTCAGAACTCCGAAAAGATATTTCAAATAGTCCGTACCATAGATTAGGACAGCACAATAACTGTGCTGTTTATTTTTGTTCGGGGACAAAATCTGGCGAAATAAATCTTATTCCATTGGCAGAACAATCTAAAATGATGACAAGTATAAATAATGTTGTATACAGATTACTCACACACGCTGATAGTTTAATTGAAAATGTCGACAATAATCCATGTGAACAATTGAATAGTATAATTAACAAACATGTTGGTGGAAAACGTATTAATTATACACAAAAAAATAATTATAAAACCCGAGTGGAAGCTGCAATTTTATCGTATAATTCAAAAAATTATTTGAGAACTCTACATAAAAAAATGACAACCGCTAGTCCTGGTAAATTATAATTTATAACCATTCATAATATAATTTCTATTATAATTGTTTTCATAATAGTTTTCGCTTATTATTTATAATACTTTTATAGGTAAAACTGCTAAACGATACATGTCCAATATTGAAAGAATACGGAAAAACACTGTTATGAGAAGAAGAAAACTTTTTTGTGAAGGTGGAAAACGGAAAAAACCAATGATTAAGTATAGTGGTCCAGACGCAGATTATGGGCTCGCTGAACCATTAGATGGATTAATTAGTGACAACGATTTAAAGAAGAAAAAAAAAAATTTTTTAAAACAATTAAACGAAGTCAATAGAGAAGACTTAGAATATGTAACTAGAGAACAAAGTCTAAGTAATGATTGGCACAATGAAAGAAAAAAAAGGCTTACAGCATCAAATTTTGGTGAGATATGCAAGATGAGAAAAAATACCAGTTGTCGAAAAAAAGTATACAGCTTATTGTACAGACCAAACACAACGTGTAAACAAACAACTTATGGCATTCAAATGGAACCTTTAGCACGAGCTCACTTTGAAACTCTTTATAATGTGCATGTGCAAATATGTGGACTATTTTGTGACAAGGAATTCTCTTATTTAGCAGCAACTCCTGGTAACTGTTCTATTTCATAATTTTAAACTAATAATTTGTATGCAATATATTTGTTCTTCAGATGGATTGATCGGTGAAAATTCTATATTAGAAATTAAATGTCCATTTGCAGCGAAAGACAGTTTAAATGCAGTTGAAGCGGTAGAAATGAAAATGGTAATTAATATTACATATTATTATTATTTATTGTGTATGTGTATACATGAAATTAAATATTAATCCTAAAAAATGTTAAAAATGTTACTAAATGTATACATTTATAATATTGTTCAAAATCAGTTACAGTACTGCAGTATAGAAAACGGAGAACTAACACTTAAAAAAGACCACAAGTATTATTATCAAATTATAGGTCAATTACGAATAACAAATCGGAAGTTTTGTTATTTTGTGATATACACTCCGAATTGGACAAACACCCAAAAAATTGAGTATGATGACGTATTTTGGAGAACTAAGATGGTCGACAAATTAAAACTGTAAGAAATTTCTTTAACATTTTATTTAGTGGAAATTGAATAATTCAAACTAAAATATATTATCATTTCAGATTTTATTTAGAATGTTTACTGCCAGAAATTGTCGATCCACTGTATGGAAAACGATTTTTGACAAGTGATATTAGAGATCCTGACCACATTAAACACCAAATAAACAAAAAATAAAAATATACCTATATTAGTTTAATTTATGATCTAATAGTGTTAACATTATATCATAATATATGAATTATGTATACATGGTAGATAAATTAAAACATGGAATTTGCTCATTTTATTTAAATTAATAAATTGTGATTATAATAATGTTTTAAATACTATATATTAGTTTTAATTTGATATCCGAAAATCAAAATAGTCGATCCAGTTTTTAAACATTGTTTGATGATAACCGACATAATAATGGCCAAGTTGCCGAGGGTTATTTCTTAAATAAAAAAAAAATGTATACCTATATTTGATTTATTTTTAAATGAAAGTAGGAAATATATTTCTATTCCAAAAGAATTTACAAATGATTACCAATAGGCAATACTGTATTTTTTATTTAATTTTATTTGAATATTTAATATTTCAATAGTATGCTATTAAAATAGTACCTAACGGTAATCGTATCTTTGTTGAAAGGTAGAATCTTAAAAATAATAATAGATAGCTTTTTTACGTACTACTGTATCATCTTTAAAAAGTACCCAAAAACTGTCATTTAAAAAGTATACCTATGTGCTAGCAGTATAACGTATAATCATATATTTAATTAATTAACCTACTACAAAACTAATACCTATTTAGATATTTAGGTAAGTAATATTAGTTTAGGTTACTGTTATAAAGTAGATATTATTTACTGTATTATATAATATATTTTGTATGGAGTAAGTATCTAATAATGCAATAAATATATGCCGAGAATAGGTATGCGCGAATATTACGACGGCAATACGTCATAATATACGTGCTTGCATTTTATATTTACGCGATCCGACACAGTCGAAGGTTGAGAAAATAATAAACATCGCTCCCGATTTAGTCCCGAATGAGCACAATCGTCGGCCGGTCGCCGACAACGAGTATTGGGCGTGGCTTAAACGTCGCGTGCTTGCGCATCGTGAAAACACTTAACAGCGCGTTCTCTCGGCCGTTCTATTCGTTTCGCTTTAGGTGTAGCGTCCTCTTAAATAGGTACTAAGATAAATGAACAAGATATTTTTAACTTATTTTGAAGCTACATGAGTACCATTATCTAAACATTGAAGACTTTTTGTAATAATACATTTTAAACTAATTTTAATGAATACTAAAAATAATAAAAGCTCAATAACATTTCTATTAATTGTACTTTTAATATTTTTTAAATTTTATTCAAAATAATATATAAATTAGTATGATGTATTAAAATTGAACCTCTATCTATTATTTTGATGAACTGAAACTTATAATTTTTTTTGTTAATATAAGTAATTATAATAAATACTTAATTTCAGTATTAAATAGTCCTAATCTACATCATAACTGATACATAATGTCCTTGTACATCACATAAGACTAAAATATTATAATTTTTATCCTCAAAACTTTTTAATTTTTCTATGCCGCCCCGGGGTCCAAAAAGGTTGCTGACCATTGTCCTTGTGTAACATAAATATTTTTTCGATTCTAATGATCTAATATGATTCAACTCAACATTATAATCATCAATTATTCATAAATGCCTTATTACCTATGTAATAATATGTTGTTTATTAGTGCTTAAGAACAAAATGTATGTTATATAATAATATTTTTTTTATAAAAAGCTATTTAAAGTACAATAAAAAAAAGAAATTTGTATTGTACACGTATTTTAATTTACTATTTTAAATAATAACAAGCAGGGTTGGGTGAATTTATGTATAAAACGTATAAATTGTTATTTCTATTAAATAGAATAGAATTTAAATACAATTTTTTTCTTTCATAAAATATTTAAATTATTATTGAACATTTTTTATGCGTACCTAGAGTATAACTACTAATAATTATTTTTACTGTAATTTGGATAACCGCTTAGAATTTAATAACTAACTTTGTATTGTTTATGTAATTAATAATTATTACTTATTAGTTACTTACTTTATTTATTATTAGTAATAGAAAATGTGTATTTAGTATTTATATTTACTAATAAATCTGAGCCTTAGCTATTACTAATTAATTAGGTACTTAAGCATGCATATTGATATTGAATACAATTAAATAGTATAGCTTATTATTATATAATCTTGCTTGATCATTGTGTAATCTTTTCAATGATGAATATTAAATATAGAATATTATAAATATTAATTATTAGTACTATACATAAAAAATAGTTCAATTTGTAATATTTTGATCTTTGGATCTTGCTTTTAATTTGTATTCATTTAAAATTAAAAATATTCAATCAGAAGTGATATTAACAATAGAAATTATATAAAATAATTTAAAAAGTTAAATGATTCAAGTAAGAAAAAAAATCGGTCTTGCAACTAGCATAACAATAACAATTACAATTACATTATTTATATTTTATATATAATAATATTTAATAGTTAATAGTTAATAATTTATACACAATAGTTATAAGTTTAATACTAATAGTGAACATTGTGAATCGTTGACATTTTTAACAAAATACAATTTACATATTTCTTTTTGAAATCTTGTTTTGAAGTAATACTTATAATTTATAAAATATAATACAAATAAAAAATAAAAATGCATTCAACTGAAAAAAAATTTAATAAATTTGGTTGTTTTTAATTTGGAAGTTGGTTATCACTGATTTCAATAGAAAAAAGTTCATTTTTGGCTTGTAAAAATAAAGAAGACATCTCAAATGTTACATTTGTTGTGGCTGCTTATAAACATACCACATACCTACCAAATTTGTATGATACAAAACTAATTTTGTGTTTTTCATTTATACTAAAGTGACTTTTTAATTTAAACATATCAACAATATTTATGTTTGTAAGTTGTTTCATGTAACAGCTAGATTTCAAAGGTACCTGTTAAATATTATCTGTTTTAATTTCAAAATTCAAATAAACCAGTCTTAAAGAAAAAGCAAGTAACTATTATACCAAATTTGACACACAAACATTTAATACATTTATATTAATTCATTATTTTATTTTATTATATTATTTACACCCATTCGGGCAAAGAGTGTACATAATGTTACAAAAAAAAAAAAAAAAAACAGTACCTAATTGTAGAATATTAAGTACCTATTTAAAAGTATTCATAATGTATTAAAATTCAATTGTGCATGGGCACATGGCACTATGGTAGTTATTTATCCAAAACCTAGGCATAAACATTGAAGTTTAAATTCATTGTCAAAATTAAAGTCAAAAGCAGCACTGTTGCATTCTCTTAACATACAGCTGATTAGAACTTTATAATTGTGAGTGGAAGGTATGTTAGAAGTAGTCAAGAAAGAGTATTAAAAGTGGGAATATGCCAGCTGACCTTATCAAGTATTTCAGGACAACTCATTTAGTTGTTTAATAAATTATATGAACCATATATATGACATATATGTGTGACATGTGTTATTGAATTACTGGATGTAAGAAAATGTAAACCGAGTTCGTGCCCTAAGCAGGGACTGGAACCTTTTGAATTTATCGGTATTGATCCCGGTACTGGTTCTCCAAAAATACAATAACTGTTCCGGTTCGGTTCTGGAAAAAAAAAAATAAAGGTGTCAGTTCCAAATAATTTCGGCACTGATGTCTGGTACTGAAAACTATAATAATTTTAAATACTTATCCAGAATGCAAGTTTAACTAATAGTAAGAAATATTAGAAAACTTATATTATTCAAACGTTAAATTTGGTCAGCTCGGTAGGACTCCCATGGATTTAAGCAAAATTAGTAAGCTTGTATTCTCTAAAGATGTAGATATACTGGTATACAAAGATCGTCTACCCTAATAAGGTCGTCAAAAATGTATCAATGTTTTAAAAATTTCAACATTTGAAACTCTCATAAAAATTTAATTTGATTTTCCGGTAAATTGTTTTATGTCTTCAAGGCATAAAAACTTAGGAATCCTTGTATTAAATATTTTTTAAATCTTAGATATAAAAAGAAAATTGTAATATTAATTTTACAAAATAATATTTATTATTTACCACTAGGTGGTTTGCAACGAAGTCGACGATATTCGCGGCGCAGTCGACGACATTATTATGGAAAAATACTTAAAACTGACTTAGTGCGGTACCAGGGGCGCATGGCGTACTAGCGACTATCGTTACTCGTTCTTCGGTTTTGACATCGACGACTTCCACAATAGTCACCGTGGCATGAGTTTCTGTTACTTTTATCCTTCTTTTTCGTGGATCAATGACTTTTAAAACGCGTTCACAATGTTAACGAAAATTAAAATTGACAACTTAAAATCTACAACGTGGGCAACTGATCCAAAGCGTTAGAGGCTTTCTTTTTGAAAATCTCCATGTATACATATAGCCTTACAAATTCAAAAATGTGTAAGACGTAAGTACAATAGTTTACAGTGTAATGTTTTTGTTTCTCACTAATGTAAAATATCTACGTGTGTTTCAAAATATTTTGTTATTGCTGTAATAATATTGCTCTACAAATGAAAAAAGCAATTCATTTATTTTTTCACGAAATATATTAATTCATCTGGAAATCGTAAAAGTTTTAAATATCTTATTCTAAATATCTAAGATATTACAACTTGTGTTTATATTCAAGCAAAAGTAGTCTGGTAAGTGATACCTGATTAGTGATTACTAGGGCAGAGGACTTGTAGCTCTAAAAAAGCTCTAAATATGCAAGCACTTATGCACTAAAAAACCCCATAATATGCAATTAAAATATGCACTTAAAATTTGATTGATAATTGAAAATTGACTGAGACTAAATACTAAAATATTGATTCTTGTCGTGTCTAGAAACGTTTTATAAATAAATCCTAATCGAATAAAAGCCCGCATGGTGTACACACGTATCTGTGGTGGTGATGTCGTAGGTATAGTTTACGTTAAAATCGTTATCGCTTCTAAGAAAAATGTGTGCCCGAGCACAGTCAAAAACCATATTAAACGACAAAAATTAAAAATAAATAAATTTGTATCCAAACATTTTGACTGTATTGTTTGAA